GACCTCCTTATCTTCTAGAGCCTTATCCCATGTGATTCTTCTAAGTAGGTCTTTGAAGAGGTCAAAGGTGACCCTCAGGAAGGTCATGCAGGATCCTGACTCCCTAGGACAAAGGGCCAATGTGTATTTCTCAAACAGCAATAACCAGATAGTTGTGAAGCCAACCAAAGATTGTTGGTAATAACAAACAGTGATTGATTGTTGGTAACACACACTGTGAGAAAGAACAGGGTGTGGCTGGAGAAGGTGGCCATACAGAAGTAGGACAAACATCCTTGTTGTAACTCTTGTAGATAAGGACAACAGATTGCAAGTGCCAGAATGAAACTGAGAAGGGGGCATGCATGGACTATAGCGAGGAATCAAGACCACCCAAGATGCCTGAAGCCCTCTGATCCATTTACAGAAAGGTCTGAAAGAACTGACTGTGCATGACAACTAATTTGTATAGAAAATGAGAAAGTTGTATTCACGGCAGGGGAAAAAAAGTATCCTCACAAAGGCCAGGCACATGTGCACCACCTGTCCCTGGACTCTCCATCAGCTGGAGCCATGCTGCAGACAGGACTCTCTCTGGTCTCTCTTGCTTTCCCCCTCCTCTTTAAATCACCTCTCTCTCTCTCTCTGTCTCTCTCTCCCTCTCTCTCTCTCTCTCTCTCTCTCTCTCTCTCTCTCTCTCTTTCTGTCTCTCTCTGCCTCCTGCTCTCTCCCCTTTTGCCCTACCTCTTTATCCAAACCTCACTGCTGTGTGGTATTCTAGGAGATCATGGACTAACTTGTATCAATTGTCATGGCAAGTGTGGAATTTACTAATAAAGTTTTGTAAGCTTCTGCAGACCATCTGACTTTAGTTCCTTTTGGCCACAAGCATCTACAAAACTGGGGTGTTCCCTTCCACTTAAGGATAGGACAACACTGTGACTAGTGGTGGCAATATAATGTGTAAAAGGGTATAATGTGTAATTTCAATCTGAAATAAGAACCTTCCAAAGTAAGAGAAAATGGAGGCATAACAGTGTCTTTGTATCCTCTTGCAGAGGACAATGGATCAACAGAATAGGCATGATTTGGGTGCCACATCCATGGTTTATTGTCATTTGTGATTTGAAAGGTGTGTGCAAATAACACACACCTGTTCTTATGAGAAATTAAATATCCTGGCAATGCTGCAGCCTTTTCATCTCCATTAATTACCCAAAATATATATAATGCACGGATTAAAAATATTGTTTCAGACAACATAAGACTTCTGCTCTTCTTAGGGCTGTCAAGATAAAAACCATCTGCAAGACAGTCTCTAACAGAAAATCCAGATAATGACATTGCAAATATTGATGCAGAAATCCTGTTGCAAACAATGCCATCTATGTAATAGATGTGAAGCTTCAGATCAAATGGGGATACTGACACAACTCACTTCCTTTTGTTAATATTATATAAAGTAAGTAGTTTCTGTTTGTCATGACTCTGTCTCTGCACTTGCCCTGCGTAAATCAGAATTAAAGGATTTTTACACTTGCCTGCAAGGAGAAACAAAATCTCACTATTTTTCCTGCTCTTGTAAACTGGGACTTTCACTGAGAGATTGGTGGTAAACACTAGAATCCACTATTTTGAAAGGAAAGCTTTTCTTGAAGACTGAAAATGGGCAAGCAAGATCTGATGTGGAAAGTCTTTAGCTGCTCTTCTAGTGTTTCTGTACACAAGCAAGGTATTCTTGCACATCATCTGGAGAGCCAAGTATAAGAGGAACTCTCTGGTGAATATTCTCAGGTTTCACATCCAACACTGCTTCGGTCCCTGTAGTTGCCATCCCACCTGCCTGCTCAATGATGAAAGCCATAGGGTTGCATTCATAGAGAAGTCGGAGCTAGAAAGAAAGAGGAAACACCTGATTGTCTATGGGGGAAATTATGTCCTTTGACATAATTATGCCAAAACTTAGCATTCCTTTTGTGATTTTAGAAAATTTTGTACCAAACTTCAACTGGCCTAAGTAGCAATGTCTTTCAGAGAGCTTTTCCTTCCCTCTCTTCTTCTCACCTTTACTACAGCCTTGGAGGAATAGTATGCCAACCCTACATTCAGGCGTCACTACTATAATTTCCAAGCTGATATACAGACATGCAGCACCAGTGAAGCTGTATTTTGTCAAAAATGTCAAAAGTGGGTGTCCCACAGGCATCAGCAAAATATTTAAGCCAACTAAGCTAACAGTACTGAGAAAGAAAAAACAAAATATGTTCTCATATGGAGTCTTTATGTGTTAACTCAGAGCTTGGGATAATCATGTTATGTTTAGTCAGGATATTTTGGAGTTTGAAACTTGATGCTCCCAGTTTCAAATTTCAGGATTTTATTGCTTCTCTTCAGAAATGTAGGTAGATATTAGTGGCCTGAACTTATCCAGATAGTGGCTTCAGAAGGAGCTGCAGTTATTTATTAAAGGCAAAATTTCCCTTTTGGTTTGGACCCTGATATCTGTTTACATCTTTTTAAAATGTTACCTCTTGGGGTAAGTGTGTTCTGGTGGAATGCAAATTTATTTAGGACATATACCAAAATTTTCAGTGTTTAAATGAAAAGAGGTGGTCAGTTCTGAACAAATATTATTTCTGTAGGTTTATCTATGAAGTGCTCATGTACAACAATATTAGCACATATTTTGTTTAAAGGACTCTTGACATGTACAAAAGAGGAAAAGTTTTCTGGAAAAAAGGAAGTGTGACAGAATGATCCTGTATATAGAGACAGAGAAATGGGTTGAACACAGGACTTCACTACCCATCATGCCTTCAGCACACTGCAATGAAACCACAATATACCACAACTTAAATAGCACTGTATTACCTTCTTTCTTATCTTTAAAGCCCACTGAAGTGCTACTTCTGTTACTGGGACTCCATCTCTGAGGCAACATAGGACCAGTACCTTTCACTCTTCTTCCTACTGCTTGACCCAATTCTGGAAGGTCATGAGCCAGCAAACAGCAGTGGTATCACCACGGAACCACATTTCAAGTTTCTTGTTGCTACTGTGACTATGCAACTTGAGGAAAGCAGTTTTTCTTCAGGTGGCAGTGCAACTGCACTTAGGGATCTTCAGATGGGCTCTGTCTTCAGATAGGTTTAACATTTTCACCTAATAGAGAACTAGAAGCCTTAAATTTATAAAAAATATTATTCATGATATACCATTTGAAAAGAAGCTTTATTTTTTGTCTTGTCCTGTAGTGGTTTTTTGAGCATTTAGTTTTCTTTCTTGAACTTAAGGAAGGATCTGTAAATTTTGGGGCCTACATCCATGTAATTTGCCTTTACTCTAAAGAGTAAATAAATTCCTTTTGATCAATTCCAGTGACATTTGATTCTTTTCAGCTCTCTAACCAAGTGCATAGACTGTCTTTCAGGAGAAAGATGATCAGGGCACTTGCCACAAGAGTATTATTTCTCCATTAAGAAAATATATATGTCAAAAGAACTATATACATCTGTACTCTGAGACAGAAAGAAAACTTGTTTTTAATAATAGCATGTTTTGCTTCTTCCATTACTCTCTTTACTGTGGCAGTCCAAGCCAGAGCAATCCAATAATAAATGTGGGTTAACTCTGTGCAAACCTTATTTCAATGAAGTTATGTAACTGCTTAGTTCCTTTGTAATTTTGTCCTGTTTTTCATTCTCTCTTTTCAACAATGGTTTAGTACAGATTTCAAAACAAAACGTTTCATTTGAAGAGGCCAGTCAGCAAACCCACTTTTTTCACATACAGCAAATTCCTTTTTTGTCCCTTTCTCCTATGTACAAACAGATCCACATCATTTAGTGAGGGCTTTTTGGGATGGTGTTTTGTGGGTTTTTTCTGTGGGATGGTGATTCTATAATTTTTGCCTGGACAAACATGCAGACATTTTTGGTTGATATGTTGAAGATAATTATTTTCCTGTTTTGGCTTCGAAGACCATTTGGATCTGCTGGTACTTTGGTAAATACAAGCTCACCATGATGAAACCAGTAGTCCTCTCTCCCTAAAGATGGTAGATATTGGGATGTTCTGAGACCAGTGTGGGAGATGAGGCAGATTCCTTCATGTACCAGCCATGGATGCAAAAACATTGGAATAGAAGGTTTTAAGTACAGTGTAGATCAGGAAAGAATGCATTCTTGGAGTCAGAACACCATGTCCAACCTATTACGTACTGAGCCAATGAATTCCTAAGGATGTCCTGCAGGTTACTGCTGGTCCACAGATCAGCTGTATGACTAGGTCTCTTAAAACATACTTGTTTAGAAATTTGATAATATGGGTATGTGATACTGCAGAAGAGAAGTTGAGGTTGACAATGGTCCACGGCCCATCACTTTTAAAGACTGACTGCATTGCATTGCACTGAATTGTCACAGTACATTTTCTACCGGTGTCCAAATGGGAAGTCATATTTTCCTAAAATACTGAATGAAACCCACCTTCCACTGTAATCACCTTTTCTGATCAGGTAGTAGAAGGCTGAGTTTGCAGAGCTGGTGATATAAGCTCAGCGTCCTTTGGAAACATAAGGTAGGAAAGTATTTTTTTCTAGCATTGGACAAAACCCTTTCTGGGACTTAACATATCCCACTGGCTGGTGCAATAACTCTAGTTTCCAGTTTAAAGTGCAGAGGTTTTTCTTAGCTCTGTGTTGTATCTGTCAGCCATGCACACATCTCTCAATGGGTTTCTATGGTGCTGAAATACTAGCTTTAGAAAAATCATTAAGTACATGGTTGCAGTGAAAACCAGTTGAGTATTTAATAATATAAAAACACAGAGGAAGATTTCTGACCTAAATTGGCAATTGCCTAAATTTCTTTCCTAAATTCAATTGCTGGGCATAATTTTCATTAAAAATTTTTTTCCGCAGTGGAACATTATTATTTGTTTATTTATGTAAACTATTGCTCTGGTAATACCAGAGATATTAGGTTGGCTAAGTTCACCAGAAAGGAATTCAAATTACATACCTTTCCTTTTGGAGTCTTCTGGTTAGCAGGATACATGAAGATCCCACCGTACAGCAATGTACGGTGAACATCAGCTACCATGGAGCCCACATACCTGGCACCATATGGGGAGCTCCCATCCTGAAAAACACAGAGCAAAGCACTATATTTACCAGGCTAGACAACTAGTAACATGGCAAAATGTAATTTTGGCATGAAACGGGAATCATAGCTGCTTTAATCAATGGCTGCTTATGGATACTGCAAATCCCGAAATCAGTCCTAAGCTCAGCCTTTTGTAAGATGTGATTGTGTACAGGGTTCAAAGATAAGAGTTTTAAAGAGCTGCATTCACAGTATGCAAACCAGAGTATCTGTAATTTGGGTGCACATTTTGGAATCAACCCCCAGCTTGTGAAAAACCAAGGGACTAAAAACTTCTTCACCTTATCAGAACAAAGTCAAAATAATTTGATTTTTGATCTTTCAATGGCTCCTAAGCCAGAGCATGAGGAGTGGTGTCACTCCTATAAATGTCCAGATGGTTCCAAGAGGGCTCCAACTTTTACCTTCTAGCTTATTTGTCAGGTGGTGAAATTGGTCACAGCATTTATCCTGCAGCTTAGTTTGGAAGATTGCAATTTATTCATGAATGTAATTTTCCTTGCTCTCAGCTTAGAAATTGATGTTGCTGAAGGACAGGCCATTTTAACAAGAGCAATCAAGTATTCATGTCAGTCTCAGGTCTGGCCATAGAAATGGGTAGGTAGAAGATATAGAAGACAAGCAAGGTGTCTTGAACAAATAGAAGGACATACAGACCAAATAAGCTCCACTCAAGAAATTTAACATGTCACTATACTTTTATGAAGGGGAGATACAAAATACGGATGTAAACTGAAGGAAAGCTTTTTAAGAAAATAATTTTGCTGGTTTCCATATCTCTCACTCTGTCTTCAATTAAGCTGAGGAGGAATTTTCATCTTCCCGGAATATTACTAGAGACTGAACTTCATGAACATTTAATATACATATATGTGTTTTGTATTACAATGCTAAAAGTCTGAAAATATCTCATAATATAATATTCTCATAATATAATAATATCTCATAAAATATCAATGTCTGGGTCAGTTTTCTAATTAAAGATCTCAGCACTTTATACAAAGCTCATCCTGTACTGATACTACATCAAGAAAAATACATAGAAAACTTCTTCAGCAATGCCAGCTCCAAGACCTTCAGACACCAAAAGTTAGTCACCTTTCCCTGCAAAATCATAAGGTTGGCTGGGTAAAAAAATCCACAACTGGAAGGAAAATAGAGAAAAACCTTATTCTATTTTGAAAATTATTTTTTCAAATTGTTCAATGTGACTGTGAAGTATTGATAATTACACTCTATTAAAATGGAAAAAAAATCTCATTAAATTACACATTACAAAGCAACAGAACACTAGGAAATTAAGTTCTATGCTGCTAAACTTAAGACTTGGATTTTTGGTATAGCTGATAATAAAATTGGAAAACAGACCTATTCCAGGCTATGTAATAAGCCTTATTCAACTGTACATATGCTGGTTTTTATGATTCGTGTTGCACACATTAGAAGAACTATGAAAAATTCAGAAGAAAACAATGCAAACTATGAAAGACTGATGGATAAGACACAGCCTAGAGCTTTTACATTTAGTTTTGTTTAAATCTGGTCCTATTACTTGTATGCACAAATGAACAAAGGTTTTAAGTATTTGCTCCCTTGTTTCTCATGGCTTATGCCCAAATAATTGCATATTTAGGCTTCAAATGATAGCGTCTCCAACTCACAGCTGTTTGTAATTGTGACTTCACAATTGTAAAAATCTGGCATCAGGAAAAACCAAACACTTTAAGTGGTATTAAAGAGAGACAAATGTGAGTTTTCAGTTAAAGTCTGGGGAAGATATGATTATAGTCTCAAATTACCTTTAAAAATACAATCAACACAAAAACTTTCTTTTGTGGTTTTAAAAGGCAATGAACTGAGTCTAAAGAACAGTTTGTTGAACACTAAGAAAAGCCATAACATATTAACAAGCAGCCCCTGAACCAGACTGCTAAAGATTGGTTCTATGATATTATCAAATAAGGACTCTGTAAACCACAGGTATGAAATTTAATGACCATGAGCTGTACAGCTGAGCCATCTGTGTAGACATCATCTGACAGGTTTGGAAAGTGCTAGATTTCCTATTCACATGCAGATTATTTACATAATTTTTGTGTACATGGACCGTGTTATGCGAAGGATGCTTTCAACTTCCAACTCAGGATAATCTAAGCTCAGGAGATGCCACTGACAATTTTAGTTGCTTTTTACTTGGATAGATATTCACCAGCTAGAGATACAGTGCTGAGAAAAATACAGACAAATTCCTCCCTTCTGATAAGGTTATCACTTGAACTGCATATTGAAATAAAATGTTTCCTTCCCTTAGCATACAGCTGTCTGCATGGAAGAATAAATACTAATTGTAGTTAGTGAAATGTTATTTGTTGTTTCTCCAGTTTTATTGCTCATGCATTTTTTTACAGATAAGAAAGTTAACAGGTGTTGCATGCATATTGGCATATTGCCCAGGCATTCTTCTCAAACAAAATAAAAGAGCATGAATGCTAGAAGGTAGTGCCAAGCTCTGTGTTTGCACAATAAGCACTCCTGATTGTTTAGTTGATGCCAATGAAAGAGCTGGAGAACCTTCATGTTCCCTTGGTCAGCATCCATGTTGAGTAAACTTGTGGCTACTCTTTGTTTTACCCCTTCTGCTGCTTTTTCTTTTTTTGCTTGACTCAAAGGAACAAAAATGACAGATAGGTCCTGTGGGGTTTTTTTTCCTTCACATTCTGAGAGAAGTCAATTTTTAATTTCTTTCTTCTACTGTTTCTGACAGCCCTGTTCTTCCACAGCAGAACAATACCAGGTTTTTCTTATATAAATATGATAACTAGGAGAGGGGGGGCCAAGAAATTTTTTCTACAGACTACAACAGCAACACTCCTGCATCCTTTGCTCTGCATACTGATGTGGTCACAAAAGAATAGTGGTTTTACTAGCTTTTTTTGTATCACTTGGACACAGCTTGGCTTCATACTGAAATGTGCTGTTGAGGGCAAGTTTTTAATGGCATTGCTGTGACAAATTCTTAGCCAGGGAATCTCAGTTGCATAGCTCTAATCATCAGCAAGCTGTGATGAGACTCAGCTTCTCCTGTGCCTGACTGTAGGAAGCAAAGATAAAAGTAGGTGTCAGAGCAAAGTGTGACAGTGTCCACAGGGTATTTAAAATTCTGCCAGTGCCAGAGAGAAGCTAGGGCCTTGCAGCCATTATGGGAGGAAGAACCCATTTTGGGGAGGAGTTGTAGTAAAATTTGTGCAGAGATGGTTTCTGGCCCAGCAGCTCCCACTGAGATTGCAGACTGGAGTAAACATGTTGCATTACAGGCAACTTTGCAAACAGAAGTTTGCTCTTCAAACTGGTTAAGCAGCAGTGCGATTTTGTCATGCTTAATAAAAAATCACCTTCACTCTCATACCAGAAGAGATGCGGTTAGACATACATTTCCCACTGCATGATAGTAGTAGGAGGCTTAGGTCTGGCCTGCAGAACATCAGCATTTTTCTAGTGCTTTTTATTCAGAATTAATGCCTTAGGTAAATGATGATCCACAAGAAAATTTGAGGGTCAATGTGATTTTGTAGTCCAGACTGTCTGATCTGGGACACTGCTGTTAGATAGTAAAGGGAAATCTCTCTTCTACTCATAAATGGCTGATTTTTAGTGTTTTGTTGCTAACGACAATGATATATAACATAGGATATGTTGTAGACCACACTGTACTTTTGATTCCTTGTTATATTTTTAACTTTTCAGTTTTTCATGGCAATGTCAGAAAGTCATCTGAACAGCATGTTGACCAAGAGCCACAGAAAGGAGTTAATAGAGGTAAGATCTAAGGAAGAAAAATGCAAAAAAAAAAGACAGCTAAAACTGATACCTAGTCTCTTGGCTTCTAGAAGCCCAAAGAGTATAGGGTGAATGATCTGGTTGAATAAGTATGTGTTCCTCCATGCCCACACATCAGTTTCTCTTCAAGTCACAGGCAGGGGGTATTCAGCAGCCACCTTCACTACCCTTCTGCATGCTGGAGAAAAGGGGACAGAGACCGAAACTGTGAAGATCTCCACCTGGCTCCTGTAGGGAAGGTCATCAACAGCATGGCTGCAGCTGAGTAGCCTTACAGATGAGGCCAGGAAGCACGTTTCATGCTACAGAGAAAAGGCAAAACCTTTTCTCTCTAGTCCTCCCCACAATGCAAATATAATGTCTTTCCAAATCAAGGAACTGAGTTACGCTGTTTCCAAAACTCAGGTTCATAACAAGCTTCAGATGGGCAGAGCACTTCCTTGTGCTTTGTGGCCATAACATTTGTGCCTCAGCCCTTCTCATGCTGACAACTGTACATCTCAGAGCAGCAAAAAATGTGATTGTTCAGCACAACTGAGAAGATTTCCTGTGCCCCAAATAACCCACTTCTGTGCTGCTTGCTTTAAAGCAGCAAAAATATCTGCCAGCTTCTGTGGTAGAAGTTAGAACACAAAGATGAGCAATTTCAATAGGTTTTCATCAAATGATAAACAGATTTGAGATAAAATAGTGTTTGCAAATGAGTTTTTTTCCAGTATGTCCTAACTTTGGGATTTAGTAAGTCACATGGTAGAGCTGTCCTCATTGATCCTGTGGGGAAATTCCTCTGTCTGGTCTTTCCACTGAGTTTGAAATATTTTCAGTATTTTCCTAGTTGCCTGGGGCTGAATCATTTGTTTAAGAATTTTACTTTAAACAACATTTTAGTGGTTTGCAAAAACACAGATTAATAAATCCCATGTTAGTGCATTATACTGAATAAATAGCCTGGTGTAACATCAGCAGAATGAGAAGCACAGATTGTTCTTCACTTTCCCAGCTGGATTTCAGGAAGTATGAAAATTGTGTCTTCTTCTCACACAGCTTAACTGAATGCAGACTTTGAAGTCTCAAAATAATCTCAAATATTCAAAATTAATATATTTAGAATGCTGTTATGTTAGACTCTGCAGCTACAGTTTTGGTAGTATTAAAAGGAGGGTTTGATATTCAGTCAGTAGTCTTGCAGCTATAGCTGATATGGTAAATCCAGATTTTTAGCTGAGAAGGAGGAGCTTATCATGGGACCATAGTTTAAATACTTACTATTATATTTCCCTTTTACTGCACCCTGAGATTTTTACTGAATCCATTTATTTAAGACAAACCATATTACAAGTATCCTTGACAACTAACAGCTTTAAAATAATCTGACTATTTTTTTAATAGGAAAAGCTTTAAAAACAGTTTCCTGACCAAATTAAGTCCTGAGTTGATCCACATCACCATATTTCATTATAAATTACTCTTCACAGCCACACTTTCTAAAGATCTTCCGGTTTTCCACATTGAGAGCTTGTGTTCTGTTCTCCTAGCCTTGATAAGTTAATACCAAACTGTATTTGTCCAAGGAAGTTCATCATACATGGGATGTCTCTTTTTTAACCACCAAATATAGAGAATTTGTGCCTCACACCATTTGTTTAGGTTTTCTCCCCAGCCAATAGGTTGGTTCATGCTCCATATGATGCAAGTAGACTGTGCAAGAATGATACTGCATTTTTCAGCTGCAAGAGGGTACAGGAAGGAGAAGGTGATGCCACCCAGATTCCTGCAAACACCTTCTGGACAGCACATGGAATCTAGCCCTAAATGCCCAACTGCACACATTACTGAACTGCATATTCAGATAAAGCTAGAAAATGAGGGTATCCCCAAATTTGGCATGCATATTTCCAGAGTTTTGCTGAAAGATTTTGCTCTTCAGCACATTTCCCTTCACACAAACAAGCTATGACTTTATTTACCAAAGTTTAAGTTATAAAAGATGTCAGGATGCCGAAAAAAAAGCTCCATTACATGAATATCCAAAATGGACCAGCTGGTATGAAAGAGTTACATGGGTCTGAACTCAGGAAGACCTTCAAATCCTTTTCCGTCAGCCAGGACTTCATGGAATGCAGTGCTTGCCAACGCGTGGTACATTGCGCACAGTGCTAATATTTTCTTACCTCAGGGAATTTCTTCTTTTGCAAATATTCTGTCATTGCAGGATCAAAATACTTTGCATAACCTTCATTGAGACTGTACACCTTCCCCTTCTTCTTGATTTTAACATCTCTGTCCACCAAAATAAATTCACCAAGACCCTGCAGGACAGGATAAATGAGGTATTAGCAGGGCAGCAGAAAATTTTGTTGGCTTTCTGTAACAGTTGCCACATTAGACATGGCAGAAATGCTAGCACAACTTGATCCTTTCATTACCTCACAATATTTCCATAACCTCACAATATTTCAAAAAGAGCAGAAAGCAGAGAATTTACATTAAATTAATGAAAACTTGTCACATCGGTACTATAAACAAAACCTGATTGGAATAAAGTACCAAAAAAATACCACTCAGCCCTGAAAGCAGACGGATCATGAATCTCTGTCCTCAAATCATGAGACTGCAAATTAAGAAATGACACTGCCTTCTGACTTTTGGACTCTTTTTGCCTCTCTGGTCTAAACAACTTAAAGTGAATGTAGTCAGCTATACCCATGTGTTGATCTCTGCAATTTGATTTCAATTTCCACCTTCTCTTTGTCTGTCTCAAGCAGAGCAGTTAATCTCCCAGTTCTTTCCACTTGGAATGAGACTATTTACAAATGTTACAAGAAGTTTTGGCAATAATTCATTGTTTTATTAAAAACAACCCCACAAAACCATAAAAAACAACAGTATGTTGTTCCGCATATCTAATTCTGGTTTTGCAAATGAATGATCTTTCTTGCATTCCCACAGTAACACTCATTGTGTTCCTGGGCACTGAAAAGTTCAGTTCATGTTCAATTGTACAGACATTGTTGTACTTTTGCAAATTTTTGGGTATGCACCTTAGGTGACAGCCATAAAACTCTACTGCACTCAGGAAATGAAACATCACTTGGCTCAAGCTATCAAAAAAATGGTCCTTGCCTCAGGCTAAACAGTGAACATGTTGATGCTCTTATTCAGACAGAAAAATCAAGAATAAAATAGACACAGATTCCTTCAAGTGAAGACAAAGACACTGTACAAATTGAATTTTCTTAAGTGTTGGTTTGAATGAAGACAGTTTCAAACACTTAATTGAGAATTTAAGTTAACTTCACTTACATTGAATAGTAAAAAAACAAGCAGGTATTGCAACCAACATGCTCACATATTATTAAATATTTATAGAGAGAAGGTGGGATGATCCGGGATATGGAAAAAAGACTTGCATAAAGTGGATAGAGACAAGGTTTAACAAAAACAAGTAAAACCAAGCACAGAGAGCTCTAAAAGACAGTGGCAATGTGATTAACACCATGACTGTACCGGATCAAGCATGAAGCAATCCACTCCTTGCCCTGTGGAGAGGGCAACCAGTGTAGCACTACCATACAGGGCATAGCCTGCAGCAACAATATTGCGGCCAGGCTGTAAAGCATCTTTTTCAGAAGGCTCGTCATCTGTTTCCTGAGGAAAAATTACCATTTGAACCAAAGGTTAAATTCTGATAATGAAAAATAAAAACAACTTTTCAATAATAATGTGCAACAGATTTCCTTTTTCTGTCTAGGCAGACCTTTGAAACAACAAAAATAGAGACTGTTACCCGCTCCCCCCACCTTGTTCAGGGCAAGTTTGGTACAGGTCCATGTACATGCTAAGACAGGATGTTCAGAGTTTGTTATCTTATACATGTCATGCAGTCAATATGATACATGCCACAAAGCTGATGCCTTAGCATTATATCCCCAGCTATTAATTGAGGATCATCAGAAAACTGAGACAGAGCAAAGATACTAATTTTCTGTAAATGTAACATAAGCTATGATACTGACACCCCTCAGAGGGAATAACTGAGAGGGAAATGCTGTAATTAACATTACAGAAAAAATGCTCGCATGGTACAGAATAAAAGGATATATGGTGCAACATGATGGAACCAAGTTTTTGCATTGGTCTCTTCTAGTGAAGGGATGCATAACTAAAGGGATATAAATGTTCACCTATTTTATACAAATGCTCATCATATTATATACAAAATAACAAACACATTTGGTTATGTAAAGTGTGCATGTGTGCAGGTACTCATCTATAAGTCTACAGAGAACATTCAGGTGGCATTTTACTTGATGCTTTTAATCAATTTCTGACACTCATATTTTGATTTGGCACTTTGGTTATCATGGAGCAACAGTAGCCCAGGCAGACAAGGTGAAATATTTCCAGCCAGCTCTAGGGCTGTGCCTCAGCCACGGCTTACAAGAGTTTGTCTGGTGGGGTAGGTAAGGAGGACAGCCAACAGTACTTGGGAATGCTGGTTACAGCCTTTATCTCCTGCTGCTGCAGAATGGGTAGGAATTGCTTGATATCAATGCTTACTTAAAAGTTTGTCAGCTGTGGTGGGTCTTGTATAGATGTTTGGTGGTGGTCCATGGGGAATTGAAATGAAACACTCCCCTTTCTTCAGACTGTGGCTCAGCATTTTATTGTTCCTAACTCAGTTTCTCAGTGATTGCAGAGGCTTATTTAGATTGAGTAGCAGCTAAATAATAACAGCAGGTTTAGCCCTGAATATCTGGTTAAAAAAAATTAAAATCCATGAAGACTTGTATAGAAAATAAAAAATTTGCCCATTAGGGTCTTAGTAAGGTGTTCCCTTTCATCATTGTATGCCAACACCTCAAGGAAAACCGAAATGCGGGACACCAAAACGACAACTTCTTGGTAAACAAAGATAGTAGTTCCACATCAAAATGTTTTCATTTTCAGCTGAAAGACTTCATTACTTAAGTCACTTCACTTACAGTCTTTAACTGTATTTTGCTCAAATCCTTTTATTATTATTTTGCCAAGTTCTTCTGTGGAAATAAAAAAATCCAGTTGACAACCAGCTCTTCATGGGAACTGAAATATAACAGGTACAAATATATGTGGCACTCAGTCCCTTGAAGCTATGTCAGGCTGCTTATTCTGAGAGGTTATAATGCAGATAATGAAGGAAGATTAGTTTAAACTTTTGTTTGCATACTTCAGAGCTTTGAAAATTGACTAATAGGGGCTAATACTTTGTGAAACAATCCTTACAGTGCCAACTATTATGGCCTAGGTAGCTTGATCTCCTTCACAAATATACCCCTATGGTACATACATCTATCTCACCATTGAAAGCAATGGTTGTCTATAGCAGACTAATTATTTGCAGCATCAAATGGAGAATTAAACATTCATTTAGACAGTCAGTTTAAAAGATGTTATGGTTGTCATAGTTTTTGTATGCACCTCTCATTAAAGAAAAAATAATTTTGTATAGAGCAAAGTGTTTTTTTTTTTTCTAGAATACAGTGTACATACAATACATGCAACTTTGGGTTATATATAATATTGTTTAATTTTTTTTCTGAGTTTTTCCTATTTCTTAAATGCATTTTCTATGTTAATATGACTGAGAAATTATATATTTGTTGACTATTCTGAAAAAAAGCCAGAGGAACTCTTGCCTCACAGTATAGTCAGTCAGGTTGAATTCACTTGTTTTTTCATCCTTATTCACAGCTGTGTTTGCAAGAGCTAGTTTCCAAAAAGAGAAAAATGTTTGAAACAAACATTTTGCAGAGCTGTGAAAAAGCTACAGATCAGCTGATACTTCAATGTTAGGACTGCAGGAGTTTTGTCCTGTACTATTGAACAAACCAGGGAATTAAGCTGGGCAGTACACTCAGATAACAGTTTTCAGGATTGCAATGTATGGTCCAAGTCTGGCCTTTCTATAAGAGTGCTTATTATCTGTTTTGGGTTTTTTCTGAAGTAAGCCAAATGTTTCTACTTTGGAGAGTGTGCCTTTGAAAATGAAGTTAAGGTGAGACATGGTGAGAAAATCAGTCAAGAGCTCATCTCAGAACTGGTAGACGCTAAGGTTCATCCTTTGGAATCACAACGATTCTACCTTTTAAAAAATATTCATGAATCTTAAGTGGCCTAAAATTATGTTCTCTTTCTTAAGTGATACTTATCAACTGGAATAAACATCTCCCTTTTATTCTTTCACGCTACCCTTTAGTAACAATCAATAAAGCACTTATTTAATAATGTCAAAGGAAAATGCAACTATTGTCTACTGCAAATATTGGGAGATGCTGTTGTCATTTAGGGTGTCAGAGAGATAACTGAAAAGGGTGGAGGTCCCTCTGCTTAACATTAGAGCACATTTCATAGATTTCATCAACACAGATAAGCTTTTTTCTCTGCAAAAAGCAAGATACTACATGGTACTGGATGTAGTCCCAGGAATGCTCTTTCAAAAATCATAGCCAGACACCATCTCAGTGCTGTCTGGCCTGCATGGCCGGCATCCATGGTGTGGGATTGCACTAACCATTAACAGTGCAGATAGCCAAATTCCAGGACTTGGCTTGTGCCACAACCCTCTTGAGGTTATGCCATAACTGATTCATTAGTAGATAACATATTCTCAACAGTGATGACTATTGTGTTACCTACAGGAAATGTAAAAGCCAAGGACTAGCCAGCTGAAAATTATGAGCTAAAAGGTGAGAGACTTAAAAGACATATCTTCAGTTGCTTGAAGTGTAACATCTGAGTCTGCAAAGACTTCTTTGAAGTCACAAGTCTGTAAACTGTTATTTCTCAATTGCGATGGCTGGGGTCTCCCACAGTCATATGACTGTGAGCTCAGGCTTTGGAAAAAACACCAACTGCTGGGAGATTAGCAAACAAATCACAAGACTTGGCATGACTGTAACTCTTAGCGTTTGTACTTGGCTGCACAGCTGCCGCTCTGTGCAGCCCCATGGGAGCAGACACGCTACTGGGCCCGATGAATGTTGCTGAGCGCTTCCTCCAGCCCCCAGCGCTTCCAGGCTTACAGACTCCCATCCATGACAGGCACAGCAGCTGGCTCTGGCCGCCACAGGGTCAGGACCAGGGCTGCCAGCCCCCGCAGTGGGTGTCCAGGAGGACAAATCCTGCGATCCGTCGGCGCCTAACGCTGAGACAAACATCACTGAAGGAGCTAACCAGCTGCCCTGGGGCTGAGATCGTCGTAGTTAAGTGCCTTTGTGTGTGGAGGAAGGAAGTGCTGTCACCTAAAAACTTCATGGGGCTGGGTGTCCCCTTCCTGTCAATTCAGGCAGTGAATATCAAGTGTTCGTCTAGTCTTTCTAAGGTTCCCTTTTGCCCAGAGACACCTAAGGGACCATGGAAAGAAACTAGGCAAGGTGATGAACTCAGGACGTTTTGCTTTCACCAAGCAAATCATGCCATGTGTGATTTGCTCTCTTACCTTTTTGTAGATAGCAAATATTGTTCCTATTGGTGCCAAGCAGTCTATATTGGATGAACCGTCAAGGGGGTCAAAGCACACCACATATTTACCCTAAAACAGAAATGGAAAGGGAACTGTTTAATGATAAGTTTCTTGGCATCATTATTTCCTTTTACTTGAAAACTCCCATGTTTTTACATCTGAATTTAGCCCTCCAAGCATGCCTGATACAGCTTGCCAGAGAAGGCTGCACTGCTGACCCAGCTGGCCCTGCAGCACAACACCGGCTCCCCAGGGGCCTGCCAGAGAAATTGCAGAGGACATGTTTCTGCTCAGACAGCACAAATGGATGATAGAGATGAGCAGCACTGCTGCCAAGCAGTGCAAGAAATTGTTTAGAAGCAAAAGGAGTGACTAATTTTGGAAGCAAGTATCTTCCTCTAATGAATATGTTTTGTTTTGCTACTTTTGCTGTGAATGAAAGGATTTTGCTCTGTTCTGGGGTTTGAGGGCAAGAAGGCAGAAAGAAAAAAAGACTTCGGGAAAGGGCAGGTTACATCAGCCTGAGAAGTAACTCGCGGTAACAGGATCCCCTCCTGGGGGAAGCCTGATGAAGCAGTCAGGTGTTTCCTTTGGACATGTAACATAACACTCAGTTCTGCCAGCCTCTCATCTCATTTTATCTTTCTAAATACTAATGTAATCCAAAACCATTGCACCAGCGGTCAGGGAATGTAACAGTACACTTAGATCTGAGATTTGGGATATGTTAACAAGCTTAAAAATAATTACTCTCCCCCCTTTCACAAAACTTTAATAATAATTTTACTCTCCACACTGCTTTTAGCTGTTGAAATCATGCCACCCACTACAGTTATTAATCAAAACAACGCAGAAATGGTGCCAATTTTCTGAATTCCCCCCGGGAAGGGGGGGGGGAAGGGTTGGGTTGGGGGCCAGGGCCAGGTTTCATACTTGAAGCAAGAGTGCCACCTGCTGCTGCCCGAGCCGACAACCCCCCTGAAAGCCGGAGGTGCACAGACCCGCTTGTCTTTCGGGGTGATGATGGCCTCCTTGTTCTCCTCTGTGACCAGGACGCAGGTGCTGTAGGAGGACTGCAGCATGTTAATCACCAGGGAGTTAGATAGTACATCCAGCTTTTTCACCTCATCACCCGTCACATTCACAGTGCCAGCTATACCAAACCTACAGAACAGTAAACATGTCAAGAAACCTGAAGGAGGACAACATTACAGGTTTTTATGAAAAAACACCCCAACAAGTCAAGGTTGTTCCTTCATCTTATCTTCCTACACCTTTAGACAATCTTTGGATGAAAAAGCTAAGGTGCATTATAAGACTGTTGCTGCTGTAGAAAATAAAAGCATGCACTTTGAGGCCTTACCCGGGTCCTTTTGCTCCTGTGTAGATGTTCTCCAGGCCAGAAGCAGAGCCTACAGCCCAGGTGGTGAAGCAGCTGACTGCAGTTTTGAGGAAGCAGAAAGTGCACTGAGCATCTGTAATATTTCCTGCCACTAGCTGCTCAGAGCTCCATGGTGATCCTTCAACCCACATTCACTCAGACCCCTGCCTGCTCCAAATCAGGACTTTAAAGGCATCCCCGGGGAATTTGCCATATGGAACTGTATCTCAGGATCAAGGTCTGTTTTATTCGGTGATCCTCAGCTGAGTTAGGATGATGCTTCTTTTCCCTATCCTGATTTTAGCAATATGCTAATGACCTAGTATAGTAGTATAATAGGTTTCCGAGAATTCCAGTTGAAGTAGCACTGTTTAGACCCAATGTACATGTTCTGGGCATCTTAAAAATACAGCAGGGAAAAGATACAGCTTTTTTTATTCATTCAGGGAAATTAAATGTTTGGGCGGGGGGCGGGGATGCAGCAGGGGCAGGTGGGAGAAAGAGAGGAGGAGAAATAATCAAGTAATTAGTCCCTAGAATGATGTTGGTCAGTGGCAGGCCTGAGCTGGGAGTGGAGTAGACCTTTTGTCTTTCTCAAAGCTCAGAGCTGCCTGTGCTTTTCAGAAGTATTGAGTGTTTGGGACATTTTATTTTTGGGTATCAAATTTAAGATTTTGAAAAGGACCACGATTTTCAGGGAATGGTAAGTACCTACTCTCCAGTTAGTGTGTTCCTGGGCACAGCTCATGTCTATGACTTGGAAAAAGTTCTCCTTCACTTTTGAATTGAAAATTGGTCAAAAATTCATGCTTAGTGCTTTAACATTAAAGACACTTACAGTCTCCTATTTGAAGGGAGTAGAAAAATCAGAGCTCTTTAACTGCACAAATGCAGATGGATGCAAGCCACTTTCACAGCGGTTGAAAGTTTGCCATGGGAATCCCTGAAATTGCATGGTTAGTTTCAGTAATTTGAATGGTACAAGTTACTAATTTGTATGTTTGGATACTTTAGATATTTCTGAGACAACAGCTGAAGCTTTTTGTTCATAAAAAGAAACATTTGCTCCTTAATGTAATGGATGGTTTGGTTTTTTATCTGAAGGGGAAGAAGGATTACTATTATTACTATTAGAGATTATTCCACCTCTAGCCTCTCAGTTTCTCTGCTGTTACAAACTATTTCAGAGATTTTCTGTGTAAAGATAAAAATTATGTAAAAGCAATTATTCCTTTAAGTCAAGAAGGCAAAACAGCTCAGTTTCACCTAGTAAGGACAGAGACAAAGCACAGTTTAAGAGTAAGGGCATAGGAGACTGAAATTGTGGTTATCTTTGAATATGCCTCATGTTCTCTCTAGGAACTATAAAGTGAGACACTGAGTTCTGAGACACTGAATTCATGATTTGCCAAGACGATTGAGGACTTGGACCAAATAATCCATAGAAGGACAAAATCCCCCCCAGTCCCTAGGGTCACATATTTTGGTGTTTCTCTGGAAGGAAAGAAAACCCCAAATCCCTGAACAAATAACAAATGTTGACTTTCTTTCACAAATATTTTCCTGGTCTCTTTCATGCTTGCAGCTATGAGTACATACTGAGGCAGGTTCAGAAAAGTGTCTTTCAATACATATCAAAAACTTCCTATTTTAAACACATTATTTTATTAGGCCATTCCCTATCTCTGAACTCCTTCAGATAGATCACTATTAAAAGACTTAGACTGATGTCTATTGCACTTGTCCATGTGAAACAGCTCAGTACATTCCAGGTTTTGCTAAGGCCTTTTTTTTCCATCTGCGAAAGTGCTAGATGCCAAATTGTTACATTTGGTTTTCCTAGAGGGCCTTTTGAGACTCCCTGCCTGTAACCCTGCACGTGGGACACTGCTTGAGGAAGGAAAGAGAAATGCAGCCAGATACAGCAGCGCGTGTAGTTTCTCTCAGGGCTGTTGCTTTACAGCATTGCTTATACAGCAGACGCGCAGAAAATCAGCTTCCCAAGATAAACCAAGCCCTGACTTATACGGTTCAGCAGAGGGCTTGGATTTTAGCAGCAAACATCACAGTGAGAGATTTTGCATTAAAAATATCATGGTGTGATTTTTAGCAAACTCACAGTAGATATAAAAATAGATCAGTATCAACAAATGCAAGAGATAATAAGGTGAGCAGTGCATTGCAGTTCTGTTCTGACTTACATTTTTAGAGTAAAATATTGCAGAACAGCAGTTAGTTTAAATGTCTATCTCACACCCACTATTAAAATGCTCCAGAAAGAAAGCTCTCCTGCTGCCCACTCTTGATAATCCAGGCTCTGACCTTACTCATCTTAAAAAAGACACTTCCAAGGTATTTATGAATCTCTGCCTGCTCCCCAGCCTTGCTATGCCAGAGAGCTGTCTCTCTGCCTCCTCTTCCTCCCGGTAGAGCAAGGTAGGACTCACATGTGGGCAAGGCCATGACTTCTAACTTTTGTCAAAACATCACATGCAGACATTCTGTTCATTACAAGTAACCTTTTACACTGGTCAAAAAGACAAAGTTCAGATCATCTTCTAACAGAAAGTTTGTTTTGGAGTTAGTGGTTCAAATAGTGTTTTCAGAGCTAATAAGCCCACTATTTGCCCCTCATTTTTTTTTCTTTTTTTTCTTTTTTTTTTTTTTTTTTTTTTAAGTGAATGTATTTTATAGGTACTGGATTTTTTTGTATATATAAGAAATTAACTTACTTTACTATTACGTAAAGAACACAGACTCTTCAACCAATCTTTCCATAAATATTGCAGTCAACAGCACAGCAAAAAGAGAAGTAAAACCTGGATAAAGGCATACAATTGGATTGTATGAAAGCTTCACCCTTTATTGTTTTTTTAATACTGTGATCCCACTGAAACATAACAACCCAAATGATTATATGGAATGATTAGGCTGTATAAATAATTACCATTTTGGGGAGGTGGGAAGAAATCAGATTGTGTAAAAAATGTGTGATGATTGTCTATTAGCCTTACTTGTACTGAGAACCTCTCAGTACAAGGGGTTGGAATAATATAGGAAGGCCAAAAAGAATAAACACCTCAATTTGACAGATGTGGGAGATTTGCCCTCTAATATAAGGAGCTCTTGAGGATTATTCACACTTGCACTGGTGCATGGGCCTGTCCTGAGCCTTAAAGGTGACACCTTTTCTAATTGATATGAAATGTTAGTTGCTTGGATGGCGCCAGCTGAAACTGGAGCCAATGACCTTTCACCAAAGGGCACAATGCAGCTTCTGAGGAGGGCAGTGGGTAAAAGTGCTGTGGGGGCTGACAGCACACGCTGTGACAAATCCGCCTTCCAGCTCTGCACTGACAGACAGGGAGAGCTCTGGAAAGGGGGATGTGAAAGGAGACTGCTAAGTGGCTCTCCCCACTGGTGGCTAGCCAGAGATGCTGCTCAAATGTGGGCTTACATGTTACTGATTAGAAGATAAACCCATCTCACAATGGGTAAAGTGCTAAGTTTAAAATGTCAGCCTGCAGGCAAAACCAAACCACTGAGTACTGACCTAGCAAACACGGACAGTATTGACTTTCCTCCTATAACCTTTACATGCTGTCAGTAGGGTGTAATAAAAATAGATATATGCAGTCCAGGATTCCTGTAAAGACTGAGGGCAGATTACAGACAAGGAATTACAGTAAGCAGGCAAAAATCACTGCTGTGGATTCTGTCTGCTAAGTCATGATAACAGACCACTGAGGCACTGTAGTCCAAACTGACTATTGCCAGCACTCTCAGTCTGAAAGTTGTCTCCACTAGCAAAGCCTCATCAGAACTGACCTTTTCAGCAGAAACTAGGCCATTCAGTCCCTGAAAGAAACATCCTGCCCCCATCAGTTTGGAGAACAGATGCATATATACAACTGTCTAAGGTTTACCTGTATAACTCCAAATGCCCCAGCATGACCTGTCAGAATGAGGGTCCTCAGGTTTTTATCTGTCTAAGCCCTCACAGAGTATGCCCTTGCACCCTGGATTTCAGCTTCCCCATACTTCTCTCTTGTTTTACAAGAGGAACCATGCTCAGTCAGGCTATCTGCACTGATACAGGCAGGTTTATAACTCATGGCACCCCTAGACAGGCCCTCCCCCTCCCAGACCACATACCGAGTCAACATTTGGTGGCAGCTTACCCACAGCAACATCCATCCACACATCCTTACATTGAGTTTGGTGAAGGTAAGTGGGCAGTGAGAAATATCAAAGATTTGCTGATTTTAATTGATTCAAAAACTGCATCCACATAGTGCTGGACAGCCTATCTAGCTCCCAAGCACTAGTGTGCTGTTCCCAGCACCATGCTCTGAATAAGCATATTAAATGTCAGTATGCTTTGGGGGGATCTTTGCACCTCCCTCCTGCTTGCACAGCAGAATTCTTTTCCACAGTAATCCCCAATCCCAAAAAAACACAACATCTGGTGGAGGTTATTAGCAATACACAAATTCATGTTTTCATCAAGTGCAGGTTAATTTTTGGCAAAGAGCCAGGTCATCACAGCAGAATCTGTGTACGTATGAGCTATCTACACACACTCTTTATCCCATTAAAACCCCTCCACACTAACATGCCATTTTCCATCCTTGTGTAACTGGATCTGATAGAGTGGCAACCAGGAATATTAATGTCATGTGTCAGAATTAACATACACTACTGCCCATGTTTCACAAACATTAATTCTCCACCAGAGTAAACCCAGACCGAAGTACAGTGAGCAACTTCTGCAGTGTAGACACTGGCCTAGGAAAGGTCACTCACTATAAGAGTGCTGGGTCTTCTTCCCAGTACTTTTAAAAGAGGACAGAGTTAGGTGTATTCTGATAGTCTGTAACTTGTCTGAGAAAGGTGAGATTCTTCCCCCTAGACATTGTATGCAACACAATATTTGCTTGCAGCACATGCGGATCTTCTGTAATCACAAATGACAAATTAAAAAGAAAACATATTTTTCCATTGCTTTAATTTTTAATGCTTCCTTTAATGCAATCTTTTCATGCCTTTCATTGCACAATGCAGTTGCACAAGATTTCACTTTAAAAAATCTTATGAAAATATGGCTCATTTGCTCTTTTGCTACAGAAGTCAGACAGCTCAATCTCACAGTACTGCAGCGTATTCTTTGGTTCAGCTGTAAGACATTTTTTTTATCCCCTGTGCACAGTGAATTCAGCAAGCTTTGTTTACTTAGCTGA